ACATTGAGTTGTCATGATTCTACCACAAGTCAAGAAAATTGCTTCAGCTGTGTGATTTGTTGGCATCCTAGAGTTTGCTGAAGAACGGGTTTGAATTAAAGTAATAGTTCGGTTAGATTTGGATTTGGATCCAGGGAGGGAATGAATAAATCAGTGTTCTGGCAATTGCTCTTTTAGTATAATGTCTTTATTTGAGAAGAAGGGGCATGGCTGACATTGTTTCAGATCAATTGCACAACACAAACTCCACCCATTCATTTCTCATGTTGGTTTAAGAGATACGCTGTATCAAAAGGTTTATTGCAATGAAAAATAATAAATTTAGTTGTTTTACCAGAAAATGGCATCACTTAGATACCATACTCTGACATTTTAATTCACACACACATGCAATTTGACTCACTGAAACTAACGACAGTTATAACATTTTCACCTAGCTGACTATCTATATATGTACACCCTCATGTGTGTTTACAATGTTGTACTAACTTGATGATGTAACTGTTTATACATGCAACTTTAAATGGAATAAAAACAGATAAATATAAAATAAACTCCACCCATTCAATTATCAGCCATGTAAGAAACAGTAGTAACGTGTACATGAACACACTAACACAAGAATATGTTTTGGTCAGCCAATCAAATGCCACCGAATCACTTGTAATATATTTTCATGTTTTTGTTTTGTCATAAATACTACGACTGAAAAAGTTACATTTGCCTCCCAATGGGGTAATAAAAACCACGTGATTTTGCTCAGCCTAATGTCTTTCCTTTGTCCGCCATCAACTGGTGTTGAACTGCTGCGTAACGTAAGTGTACATAGTTTGAATAGCCTTATAATGATGTAGCCAGCAAGGAGCAGTAAGACATATTGATCCTTTACGGCTTTATCCTTTTATTTATTGCTTGGGTAATTGCATACAAAATCAATAACGAAGGATGTACACCATGTTGAAACTCAGGGCCTACTCCAGCCAAGGGAGGGGCTTCAATTTTGGTTATTAGCACAATGAACGTTGAGCTTCTGACCAATTTCGGTGTTTATCTCTATGATTCCATCACAGTGACAGGAAGCTCAGCGTGATGGATCTTAATTACTCGGCAACTTCATGACTTGATTTGTAATTTTGCTCCAAATAAGTGTGTTTGTTTTGGAGTTGAAACACAATGGTGGAGGTGTTATTGGAATTTGACTGGATTGATGTATCAGGATCGAGATCGAATTGAGGGCAGTAAGATTATGGTGTTTGGTCAAGGAAATAATTTAATCACCAAATCGTCATGAACATCACGATTGTAGGTTCAAACATGATATATTTCAGGAAGGAGAGTATAGAGATTGCTTTAGCTTCATGTTGTCATGGTTACGCTTATTCCAAGGTTCGGCTTTGCTTTAGGAGTGAATATCTTGGTTTGAACTGCTGTGTTTCAATTAAGCTAATGAATACTTACGCTTTTGAAATTTTGTTCATTTGGCGAGTTCTGTCAGGGTTGATAGGATAGTTATTCTGATAACTCATGTTCGATTCACAATGATGCCATGCATGACCGTTTTCTCGCTATGGTCGAGAGACCATTCCGAGTTTGCCTATTGGGGTGGCAAGTGCTAAAGTATTGATGTACTTGATGTTTGTACACCTTGTCATTCCACCTCAATGTGTCATACAGCGACCACGCTTACAACACAGCAACCCATGACACATTTTGTGCTTTTTCAGAGCTGTCTACAAAGAATCAGAAAAGGCTAAATTAGAAACTACCAATTGCTTGGTTACTGGGCCTGTACTTCAAGTTGCAGTGGGGGCCGTGGGGGAGCCTAGTGGTTAAAGCGTGAGCTCGTCATCCCGAAGATCCGGGTTCGATTCCCCACATTGGTACAATGTGTGAAACCCATTTCTGGTGTCCCCTGCCGTGATATTGCAGGAATATTGCTAAAAGCGGCGTAAACTAAACTCACTCACTCACTCACTCAAGTTGCAATGCAGAGTTGCATCCCTTATTCACACCAGGACCTTGTTCCTCAAAGCGATCTTAGCTCTAAGATAATCGTAACGCCCATACTTTAGCATAGACTTACGACTGTCGTAGTGCTACGATCACTTTCAGGAACGGGACCCAGAATATGATGATCCTGATTTAACTCCCCTAATTTTACTCTTTTGTCTGTGATTCGTGGGTTGGTACTTTATGTGATATTCATATTTTAAGCTCATAATGATGTATGGAAAAGCGCTATGTTTTAGCGGTGGGGAAGCCTAGTGCTTAAAGCGTCCGCTCATTACGCTGAAGACCTGGGTTCGATTTCCCACATGGGTACAATGTGTGAACCCATTTTGGGTGTCCCCCGCCATGATATTGCTGGAATATTGCTAAGAGCGGTGTAAAACCATATTCACTCACCCACGCATATCGCTGTTGTGTGTTTATGCAACATGTTACACACTTGGGGTTAAGCACAAAAGGTACAAGTTACATGAAACAGCACCTTATTATATGAAAAAACTAAACTTTTTAAAGATATTAACTTACAGACTTGTTCCAGGAGATAGAAATATACTGAATGCCTTAAAATCTTTCCAGACTTGTGTAAATGACAACTTGTGAAGAAATACAAAATATCTCAAATATGATCAGAGATCATAACTTTGGGGAAATACTCTTTGTGGGGATGGAGCACACAGTTTCATAAAAAATACCCCAAATATTCATTATCCCTACGATGTGATGTTAAATATTAACTCACTCACTCACTCGTGATCCCTAACGTATTTTGCTCAGTATATTGTGAGTAACTGGTGCCGTCTTGCCCTTGTAAGCCCTGTCCTGTTTGTTATTCCACATCACCTTGTTCCGACCTGCCTTACAACACCTTGTTTTGCCCTGTCCTGTGATCCCACATCATCTTGTTCCGACCTGCCTTACAACACCTTGTCTGTTCCCAGGGACAATATCAGGCTGTTGCCCTCTTCTTTGTTTGACCCGCCCACTTGACCATGTGACCCAACTTGTCACCCAACTTGTCACGCCTGGTATCCCCCATCAGGGACTGTCACAGCCCATCTGGACACTCAACACTATGTTTTGTATAAATATGGTGAATGAAAGATAGTCCTCACTTATGAATAACATTATTTCGGAAATTCACAATGATATGATTGGATATATGTGCTCTCCTAGATAAACTAAAGCCAGAAACTGCAAATATGTGTCACAGTAGGATAATTAGATCAATGCTTAGTCTCTGAAAATATATGAAATACACAATGCCAGTTTAGAAAGTGGTCAAATGTAACATATGTTATATTTGGGATTACACTTTTTCAGTAAAGTACAGATTCTAGTACTTTTGGGGTTGAGTCTCATCCGGGATTCGAACCCACACCCTCAGAGTCAGGCACCTAATCGCCAGCACACAAAGTCAGACGCCTAGACCGCTCAGCCACTGCGGCTTCCACAAAAATGGAAGTCGGACAACTGGTAGTCTAGACTGCGGACTTTGTGTACCCCTCTGATAGGTGTTAATTGGCACGGCTCCCACGGCCGAAAGTTATGAAATACACAATGCCATATAGAAAGTGGTCAGATGTAACATATGTTATACTTGGGATTACACTTTCTTAGTAAAGTACAGATTCTAGTACTTTTGGGGTTGAGTCTCATCCGGGATTCGAACCCACACCCTCAGCGTCGGGCACCTAGTCGCCAGCACACAAAGAACTAGAATCTGTACTTTACTAAGAAATTGTAATCCCAAATATAACATGTGTTACATCTGAAAATATTCTTTGATAGAAACAAATAATTGCTTTTGAATTGAAAAGGAGCCACAGTGAGATGGGAGATTCAGGGAATTTTTAGACTTGCTTCATTTAGGGCTTTACCACTGCAGGAAGGGCTTGGCAGAAGGGAGTGAGTGAGTTCAGTTTTACCGCTTAACAATATTCCAGCTATATCAATGGCGGGGACACCAGAAATGGGCTTCACATTGTACCCATGTGGGGTTTGGCAGAAGGGAAAATATAGAGACAGACTATAGGATATTATTCTATGTGTGATTATGCTGACTATAATGTTCTACCTGGACAATTACTTTAAACAGAGATCATATAGATATGTGTGGTCTTTGCTATAAATTGCTCTCCATTTGCGATGAATAGTAAACACCATAGAAAGTACAATTAGAGCACCTTAGCAACTGTCACATAATATGCACAGTGTTTATTTGAGTACAATTATTTCATGTGCTACTGATAAGAACTTTAATTGTCCATTTAATTCACTGTCCATAAGCTAATAATGTTTAAATGTGTTTAGTTTCTTGGAGGAACTATATTACATACACAAGATTTGTTACTCTAGAAATTTGTTGATTTGGACAATTACCCAGGGAGTTACACAAGTCCTACATGACTGTGTGTTGTGGTGGTGAAGATAGTGTAAGAAAGGGGTCGGCTGGGATACTTGAGGGTTGCTCATATAGGTTATTAATCTGTGCCCTTTTAATTTTTCACATGTCGATATGACTTTTATCCAATAATGTTCATGCTTATTTTCAAACACCGAAGAATAATACTCAATAGAAACATGATTATTGTCAGAAACCCTAATTACAGTAATTCTCCCAGGATTACATATATTATTAGTCAGGAAGTAGTTATTTGGCCGTGAGAGTCACGTTGGCAGGCGAGCTGTGGCTTCTGGTGAGTGAAGCTCTCACTGAACACACGCTGTGGAGTATCGTGGAGGATTGATCAATGACAAGCCAGTTAGCAGCCTGTCTTCCTATCTAGGCTAATGCATTGACAGAGACTGTTCCGCTACATTGGGTGTCGGAGCTCGCCTGTCAACCATTCATCCCATCACCTCCATAATGGCCAGGTAAGGCAGACACTGAACCCATTACCTGAGAGGTGTAGGCTTTTGTGGCAGGTTAGATAAATCTTTGGATAATGGCCCAGATTTCTATCTCATCTGACAAAAATATAGGTTGTGTATGTTGGCTGTGATAGTGTCTGTATGTTGTGTGGCATGGCTATGTGAAAACTGTCCTGGTCGTCATATGTTCGTTTGTTTGAGTCCTGTCCGTGTATCTAAGCTGAGGTCCTCACCGTCCACACACAGGTTTCAAACGTTTATACAGGAAGTGGGAAAGATTCTGACACGCTCACAAGCCTGTGTGTGCTGGGCAGGCTGTCAGTGGGTAATGGGAACCGTATGTGAGCAGAGGTTTTCTCCTCTGCCAGAATTAATACCAGTTTGAAAATTACAACGGTTACATCAGGCTGTGTCAGACAGATCTGCTTTGAAGGAAGATTCAAATCTGGAGATATGTTTTCTGGAATTGTCAGCTGTGCATGTTCGTAGAATCTGTTTGATTTCCGTGTCTTGGATCAGACAATTGTGTTGTTGGACTGTGGAGTTAGCAGGAAATTGATCATTTCCTGTATACAAGGTATGTCTTTGTTTTAGTTACAGCTCCAAGAAAATATGACGATATCGAATCATATTATTGATATCATTACAAAATCATGCTTATCTTCAAATGTAATGTATCTGTTGTTTCTCACGTTGAGATTTTTCAGCAGGACAGAGAACAAATGATATCAGAATATCTTTGAATTCTGAGTCATGTAGAGTTCTCGTTTTTTTCAATGAGTCAGAAAGAAACCGTTCTTCACCACTGGACAGATATAGGAGACTCACTGCCTGAACATTTCTTTTCACATAGAAAATTACATTATGTCTAAAAAAGGAGTTTTCAAAATATCTTGTTAGATCCGGCATATGCTTGAGTTAGGCTTGCACTCTGAAAAGCTTTTATCGTGGTGGTATTTTGTATCAAAAAAGTGTTCCAAAAAGACAACTTATAAGTGGAAAGGTCCCCTTGTTCTGCTTCCTGTAGCAGACGGATTGGATTGTAACATCTCCCTCAAGCACAAATTCCAGCTTATGTCACATTAGGGGTTAAATATATATCCCAGAGTTATATCAGTGTTAATGGTAGTCAGTTTGATATTCTGGAAATGTCATATATTTTCCTGTCTGAGCGACAACAGATGACATGCCACAATTGTATATAGCCTGACGTGTTTAGTATTACACACCAACAGGGTGATCCTAGGTATAGATCCAGACATTTGGGAAATCAATTTCATTTATAAGTTATGTTAATATGTTGGGGGAAATGAAATAAAAACATTGGAACTGTTTCTGTAGTTTTTGTACTAAATGTTGTCACAAAATATTGCATTGTAACCTGGCATGTTAGTCTTGTATTTTTTTTGTATGTTGTATAAAATATAGAAATAATTAAATCATATTTTCAGTTTTGTTTAAGGTTGATGCCAAAAATATTTTTAAACCATTCTTAAGTAATAGATTTAAAGTCTAAATCACATAATCAGCAGTTTCAAAACTGTAGGAGATATTACAAACACTCGCACACACAAACTCATGAACTCAGCTTAACAACCAATCGTGTTGATAGTGCTTCATATATGCAGTGGACAGCAGATGTGTTCCTTTGTAGATCTGCTTTAAATGTTTTAATGATATGATCTTAAGCATGTTGAAGACTTTATGTTAGTTCAAGTATGTGTACTTTTAGGAAGTATAGTTTTAGTTTTAAAATTGTTAATTGTGTGTCCATCATCTGGAACAAAGACGCTTATGGTTCTGCTGCACAAAGGACATTTCATTTCTTTTTGTAAAATCAATTTTGCCCAATTTAATCACAACTCCCCAAGCTCACAGTGACATCATCGCTGTCTTGATGCCATGAACTGTTACTGCCATCCTTGGAGAAAACTGAGGGTCTTCATGAGGGGTAGACACAGTAAGAGAATTACATCATTGGTGTCTGAACTTCCATCTTAGAGAAAATTGAGGGTCTGCTTGAGGGGTAGACACAGTAAGAGAATTACATCATTGGTGTCTGAACTTCCATCTTAGAGAAAATTGAGGGTCTACACGAGGGGTAGACACATTAAGAGAATTTCATCATTGGTGTCTCAGCCTCTATCCTAAGAGAAAACTGAGGGTCTGCATGAGGGGTAGACACAGTAATAGATTCATATCATTGGTGTCTGAACTGCCATATTAAGACAGATTGAGGGTCTGCATGAGGGGTAGACATAGTTGAATGATGTCTTTGGTTTCTTCCTCAGACAAATTTGAGTGTGTATATGAGAGGCAGATGGACAGTCACAGAATTATATAATCATAATCTTTACACTTTCATCCTTAGCCTTTAATGAAGGTCGACATGAGGGGTAAATATGATCACCTAAGAATATCCTCTGCAACGTCCATCCACAGCCAACAATGAGGGGTAGACTTCAACTGTCACAGAGTAACATTATTACACTGTTCAGCTCCCAGCATCAGCCGAAATGAAAACCTAAATAAGAGAATTACAACACTGTTCTATTCATCCAGATATTGAGGATATACATGGGTGATAAAAATATGGACAAAACAGTTTTTAAAGTTTCCACCTTCCATTTTCTATGTTTTATGCTTGTTAAAAGTTCAGGGTCAATGAGGCTCTTCATGTAGTGAAGCTACTAAAATAAAGGATATTTTTTAAAACGGATAGTAACTGATATAAATAATATCTTCATATCACTGTATTAACCCCAAAAAAAACCCCAAAACAAAAACAATAAACCATAAATAAATAAAAACAAAATAATAAAATAAATAAATTAATAAAAAATACTAAAATAAAAAATAATAATAACCAAAAATAATAATAATAAATAATAATAAAATAAATTAAAAAATATATAATATATAAATATATATATATATAATATATATATATAATTAAATGAATAATTTTTTTGCTTTTCTTAAAAGTATAGGAAAAATAAAAATCATCTACTGTTAAATGTTTCAGACCTGTAATGTTGTTAGTTTTGGATTAGGTATAAAGAGTTATAATAAATACAGCTTAGTCAGCTGCCTGTTCTGTTCCCTCATCCCCCGGTGATGCTGATGTATCCGTGGCGATTGATGGCTAACATGCCTGTACTGTATGATGGAGGTTCTGATACACTAATGATGCCATTAGCAGACCATGCCCCTCCAACAGCTGACTGCTTGGGGATTGCAGATGTTGTCAAATGGCAGTTGGTAGTTGGTCGTTAATTAGTAGTTAGTGAAAGCCCACTAGAACATAAAGATACAGTTCTAAAGTCAAAATTTCACAAAATACGCAAACTTGGCAGTTTGGGCATGTAAACGTGCACTTTTGAATGCATACCTTGAAGAGGTCTTTGAAGTCTGTCTTTGAAGATACTGTTTGAATACTAGTATATGCCTTGAAAAGGTCTGAATTTGACAGCAGTAAAGATATAAATATTTATTTATTTCCAATAATGCATATTCACATCAAGCATGTCGAATATTTTGATAATGTAATTTGGTATGCATTTTGACAATGAAATAATTCTGAATATTCAAACACATCTCTCCCTCCCTCACTCACTTACTCAAAATATATTCTCAAGATGAAATCATTACATTGGTTGAGCATATCACAAGACTGTTTAAATAGGAACGCTCTTAGTTAGCAATCTGTTATTGATTTTGGGGAGGAATGGAGAAGGTATATATACTCAGGATAAATATATCTCAGGTCAAGTGTAGTCTACAAATAGTTCACCATCATTGCTCTTTACAAACAATACAGCTGTTTTTCACGTAAATGATGCTGAAGTTAGAGCCTATTCATATTAACTCAACTAATAGTAAAGTTGTGTACTGACCGAGAAAGAGACCCATTTGTATGCAATAACAATAAGAGAGCCAGTGTTTGTATTAATTCTTTTCAGAACATATAGTAAAATGTTTTTACAAATTCAGAGAAAATCATATTATTTATCTACTTGATTATCATGAATGGTGTATATCAAACCTGTGAAGATCCGGGTTAGAATTGATCTTCAGCAACCCTTGCTTGTCATAATAGGGGACTAACGGGATCGGGTGGTCAGGCTCGCTGGCTTGGTTGACACATGTCATCGCATCCCAATAGTGTAGATCGATGCTCATGCTGTTGATCATTGGATTGTTTGGTCCAGACTTGATTATTTACAGACCGCCGCCATATAGCAACAACATTGCTAAGTGCAACGCTAACAACAAACAAACAGTGTATATCAGCTGTTTCAAAAACCCTTAATGAATTTGAGAAGAGTAGAAGCTAAATCAGAAGTTGGGGACTGACCTAGAATTGATTGTGTCTAGGCCACCAAAATGTAGCTGTGTTGTTATTCAGGCTGTAAATACAGTCTAGATCGTTAAAACAGTGGTAACGATGAAAGAAAAACAAGATCATCACAATGCTGATATATGCTGATCTGCAAAAGAAACACGATCACAGTACATTTTAGTGACTGGAATACAGTAGTGTTATGAACCGTGAGTGATGTTGGTTTTACGCCGTTTTTGGCAATATTCCAGCAACATCACGTCGGAGGACACCAGAAATGGGCTTCACACATTGTCCCCATGTGGGGAATTGAACTCGGGTCTTCAGCATGATGAGCGAACGCCTTAACCACTAGGGTACCCCACCACCCCTATGAAACGTGAAGTGTGTCTGTGAGAAGGAAGTAAGTACAGGGCCCAGTTTCACAAAGCTATATTAGGGCTTCACTGTCATAAGTCTATGTTATGGTATAGGAGGTATTTTACAATATTCCAGCAATATCACGGGCGGGGACAATTCATGATGGTATAGATTTGTGAAATGTGAAATGGGGCCCTGATTAGCCGATTATTATTATGGATTCTAAACACGCTTTATCTTGAATTAAACCCGATTTTACCTCAATTGCTGTGTTATAATTGAAAAACTGTTCAAGCCAGTATAAGACCCTATACACAAGTTAAAGCAATATTTGTTTGGATGTTTGAGCTGTTGATCTCTAAAACTGTTAATGCTTTAACCACATAAAGAAGATACCCAGCGACCCTCAACAACATGTCTGAACACCCCCCAGCCCTGTGTTAGTATCTATATCTATATGTGCGTGATGTACGATTATTAGTCACACACGCAGTGTCAGACTGTTCTACCTGGATGCTTGTCTGCCATTGTCCTGCTAATAATATAGGTGACTGATCAATGATCAGTACGCTGTCTAGACTTTCTGTGTCTGGGGCGGTGGGGTAGTCTAGTGATTAAAGCGTTTGCTCGTCACGCCGAAGACCCGGGTTCGATTCCCCACATGGGTACAACGTGTGCAGCCCATTTCTGGGCCCCCTGCTGTGTTTGCTGGAATATTTCTAAAAGTGGCGTAAAATCATACTCATTCTGATTGTCTAGTTTAGTGTTTATTTTATATATGTATTTTTCAGAGGAAAATATCAGTAGTTCATGTGATATGTAGCACAGTGGAGATTCAAGTTGTCTATTTTTTCTGATAAGTGTGTAGAAGCCCAGTCTAGTTCCTCTGATATGTGATGGGGAGACAAAAGCCCAGTCTAGTTCCTCTGATATGTGTAGAGGAGACAGAAGCCCAGTCTAGTGAGTCTGTTGTGTGTAGAGGAGACAGAAGCCCAGTCTAGTGAGTCTGTTGTGTGTAGAGGAGACAGAAGCCCAGTCTAGTTCTTCTGATAAGTGTGAAGAGGAGACAGAAGCCCAGTCTAGTTCTTCTGATAAGTGTGAAGAGGAGACAGAAGCCCAGTCTAGTTCTTCTGATAAGTGTGAAGAGGAGACAGAAGCCCAGTCTAGTGAGTCTGTTGTGTGTAGAGGAGACAGAAGCCCAGTCTAGTTCTTCTGATAAGTGTGAAGAGGAGACAGAAGCTCAGTCTAGTTCTTCTGATAAGTGTGAAGAGGAGACAGAAGCTCAGTCTAGTTTTTGTGATACGTGTAGAGGAGACAGAAGCTCAGTCTAGTTTTTGTGATACGTGTAGAGGAGACAGAAGCTCAGTCTAGTTTTTGTGATACGTGTAGAGGAGACAGAAGCTCAGTCTAGTTTTTGTGATACGTGTAGAGGAGACAGAAGCCCAGTCTAGTTCTTCTGATAAGTGTGAAGAGGAGACAGAAGCCCAGTCTAGTTCTTCTGATAAGTGTGAAGAGGAGACAGAAGCTCAGTCTAGTTCTTCTGATAAGTGTGAAGAGGAGACAGAAGCCCAGTCTAGTTCTTCTGATAAGTGTGAAGAGGAGACAAGAGCCCAGTCTAGTTCTTCTGATAAGTGTGAAGAGGAGACAGAAGCTCAGTCTAGTTCTTCTGATAAGTGTGAAGAGGAGACAGAAGCTCAGTCTAGTTTTTGTGATACGTGTAGAGGGAGACAAGCTCAGTCTAGTTTTGTGATAATGTGTAGAGGAGACAGAAGCTCAGTCTAGTTTTGTGATACGTGGTGAGGAGACAGAAGCCCAGTCTAGTTTTTGTGATAATGTAGTGAGGAGACAGAAGCCCAGTCTAGTTTTTTTTGTGATAAGTGTAGAGGAGACAGAAGCCCAGTCTAGTTTTGTGATATCAGTGTAGAGGATACAGAAGCTAAGTCTAGTTTTGTGATACGTGTAGAGGAGACAGAAGCTCAGTCTAGTTTTGTGATATGTGTGAAGAGGAGACAGAAGCTCAGTCTAGTTTTTGTGATAATGGTGAAGAGGGAGACAGAAGCCCAGTCTAGTTTTGTGGATACGTGTAGAGGAGACAGAAGCCCAGTCTAGTTTTTTGTGATACGTGTAGAGGAGACAGAAGCTCAGTCTAGTTTTGTGATACGTGTAGAGGAGACAGAAGCTCAGTCTAGTTTTGTGATACGTGTAGAGGAGACAGAAGCTCAGTCTAGTTTTGTGGCATACGTGTAGAGGAGACAGAAGCTCAGTCTAGTTTTTGTGATATACGTGTAGAGGAGACAGAAGCTCAGTCTAGTTTTTGTGATACGTGTAGAGGAGACAGAAGCTCAGTCTAATGGTGAGTTTTGTGATCACGTGTAGAGGAGACAGAAGCTCAGTCTAGTTTTTGTGATACGTGTGAGAGGAGACAGAAGCTCAGTCTAGTTTTTGTGATAATGCGTGTAGAGGAGACAGAAGCCCAGTCTAGTTTTTGTGATAGAGACAGAAGCTGTCTAGTTTTTTTGTGATAATGCGTGTAGACAGAAGCTCAGTCTAGTTTTTTGTGATCACGTGTAGAGGAGACAGAAGCTCAGTCTAGTTTTTGTGATACGTGTAGAGGAGACAGAAGCCCAGTCTAGTTTTTGTGTATATAGTGTAGAGGAGACAGAAGCTCAGTCTAGTTTTTGTGATGGATGTGTAGAGGGAGACAGAAGCTCAGTCTAGTTTTTGTGATACGTGTAGAGGAGACAGAAGCTCAGTCTAGTTTTTGTGATACGTGTAGAGGAGACAGAAGCCCAGTCTAGTTTTTGTGATACGTGTAGAGGAGACAGAAGCTAAGTCTAGTTTTTGTGATACGTGTAGAGGAGACAGAAGCTCAGTCTAGTTTTTGTGGATACGTGTAGAGGAGACAGAAGCTCAGTCTAGTTTTTGTGATACGTGTAGAGGAGACAGAAGCTCAGTCTAGTTTTGTGATGTGTAGAGGAGAAGCTAAGAAGTCTGTGATAGGTGTAGAGGAGACAGAAGCTCAGTCTAGTTTTTGTGATACGTGTAGAGGAGACAGAAGCTCAGTCTAGTTTTTGTGATACGTGTGAAGAGGAGACAGAAGCTCAGTCTAGTTTTTGTGATACGTGTAGAGGAGACAGAAGCTCAGTCTAGTTTTTGTGATAAGTGTAGAGGAGACAGAAGCCCAGTCTAGTTCTTCTGATAAGTGTGAAGAGGAGACAGAAGCCCAGTCTAGTTCTTCTGATAAGTGTGAAGAGGAGACAGAAGCCCAGTCTAGTTCTTCTGATAAGTGTGAAGAGGGAGACAAGCTCAGTCTAGTTTTGTGATAATGTGTAGAGGAGACAGAAGCTCAGTCTAGTTTTTTGTGATACGTGTAGAGGGCACAGAAGCTAAGTCTAGTTTTTGTGATAATGTGTAGAGGACAGAAGCTAAGTCTAGTTTTGTGGATACAGTGTGAAGAGGAGACAGAAGCTCAGTCTAGTTTTGTGTCGTGTAGAGGAGACAGAAGCTCAAGTCTAGTTTTTGTGATACGTGTAGAGGAGACAGAAGCTCAGTCTAGTTTTTGTGATACGTGTGAAGAGGAGACAGAAGCCCAGTCTAGTTCTTCTGATAAGTGTGAAGAGGAGACAGAAGCCCAGTCTAGTTCTTCTGATAAGTGTGAAGAGGAGACAGAAGCCCAGTCTAGTTCTTCTGATAAGTGTGAAGAGGAGACAGAAGCCCAGTCTAGTTCTTCTGATAAGTGTGAAGAGGAGACAGAAGCTCAGTCTAGTTGATCTGATCTTGATTGTGGAGGAGGCTGAATGCAGTCTAGTTCATGTGATGTACCGCTGAGGGGAAACAAAAGCCCAGTCTCATCTGATATGTCTCATCAGAGATAACATAATAATTATTATATGGCCTCTGGTCTCGTAGAGGAGATTCTGGTCCAGTCTTGTTATCTGATAAATATGTAGAGGAGACAGCAGCCCAGTCTAGTTAACCTGATATGTGTGTTAAGGAGACTGAATGCAGTCTAGTTCATATGGTGCAAAGCTGAAAGGAAACATATATCTGATATGTCTCGTAGAAGAGACTAGAGTACAGTCTAGTGTAGGCTGTCAGCAGTGCGTGGGGCTAGTTTCCATTATGCATTATAGACTCGACATTTTGTCGCCAATGACTCACACCTGTGGGAACAGCATCACATCAGGTGATTGGCAATAAACTTACTAAAAGCTTGATAGATGGGAGTGACAGGGGCTACAAGGGTGGACTCACTGAGCCGGATCAGATGTAGAGCGGCTTGGTTCTGGATGGAATTGTTCTTTAGTTACAGATGGAATATGCTGAACTGTCTGGTATTTTAATGGGGAGACTCTCCATAAAGTACAGTCTTGCTATGGGATGGTGTTACGGTGTATATTACCCAGGTAATTGGGATCTATACTTCCAGACAAGTTTCAATCTCTGATTTATGACCTCTGTCAGTTTCTGTTTTCGTCCAACATGGACACATGGGTACAATGTGTGAAGCCCATTTCTGGTGTCCCCTGCCGTGATGTTGCTGGAATGTTGCTAAAAGCGGTGTAAAAGTAATTTCACTCACTCTCACTCCAACATGGAGCTGACAATCTGAAATACAGTTAACCTCATTCACTTCTTTTTTTCTCTGAACAATTTGAAAGAGAAAAAGGAACATTAATAAACTGCCATCTTAGTACCTTTATTAATAAGGACTTAATGTTTTTATGTAATTAAATATCATACCTCAAGGCTGAATCTCATGGAATATAAGTTACAAATAATAGCAATGGAAATTCAAACAGTAACCGGATAGAAGCTGTATCCACATGCTAACATACCATTTTGCAGATTACAAGGGAATCTTCCCCCAGTGTATCATAAGATATTGCTCTGCAGTGAATGCACTCTGAATATCTTGACTTTGACTCACAAGTAATCCTGCAGCTATTGCAACAAGAATGCTTCTTGCATGTTTATGAAACAGCAATTTTGTATGCACTTGGAAAACAAGAATTTTTTTTACCGTTTCTGTCACCATCGCCATGGCAACTCATTGTCAGTAGATTAGCATCTTTGGTGCATATTCACAATAGCTGCATGTTGATGCGTCTAGTGACAACAGCTGTGCTGGCATGTTGCTCTCTATACATGTGTTGATATGTCATCAGAAGTAGGTTCACTTGATTCATCATCCAGGCTGAATTTATGAAACATCAGCAGATGTTGATCAGGGAGCGGTCTGCCTCACAGTCCCTGAACCACATTGGTGACTAACAGGATAGGCTGGTCGGGCTAATTGTATAGATCGATGCTCGTGCTGTTGATCACTGTATCGTCTGGTCCAGACTCGAATATTTACAGACCTCTGACATTAGCTGGTATATTACTGAGAGCGTCATTACCAACCAACCAACCAACCAACATTATTTCCCCTACTGCCTAGCCCTCCCTGCAATGCTAAAGCCCTAAATGAAGCGAGTCTAGATTTCCTTAGGTCTGAATCTTCCCTCTGACTGCGCTCCTTTTCAATTTAAACAGGTTCATTTGTTAATATCAAAATTATATATATTCAGAAACTAAGCATTAGTCAATCAGGGAGCAAACATCTGTTAACAGCAGAATATTTGAGATATGATGTTTAACAATCTGAAAGTTAAGGTATCCGTATGTGAAAGTATTTTTCTATAGACTAAGGTTCTGAGAAAGAGATGCTGCTTTATGGATGACTTCTGTATTATCTTATAATGCGAAGTTTTGGTATAGATTCCAATACCATTGTCAAGCAACTTCTAAAATAACGTCCCCAGCCGTGATGCTGCTGGAATATTGCTAAAAGAGGTGTAAAACCATACTCACTCACTCACTCTTTCTCAATAACGATCAAACATGATGAGGTTCTACAAAAAATATTTATTTGTTAAATTAGTCAGGAAAGGTAGAATTCATTGTTAGAATAGTACTTACCTGTGAATCATGTTTACTATTCATATATTCACGATTCATTCCATATGTGGATTAAGGCACACTAAGCCCACAAGTGTATATATATATATATATACGCCCTGTTCATTATAAGATGTGTCAGGTAAGGGAATCAGGTTTACGTTATGACCTGAGCCCTGGTCTTCAAAGCGATCATTGCACAAAGAAGATCGTAGCTGTTTTAGTTAAAGTAGACCTACGCTGATCGTACCACAACTATCACTGTAGAACAAGACCCAAATCTAATTGTGTGTTCTTGCACTCTGATTCGGATGAATTTTTTTTACAGCTTTAATCTGTTAAAAAAAGTTCAGCATGTTAGAAACTGTCTGACCGAGTGTGTGTTGGCGGAAGCAGATATTTATGCAGCTGTTGAGGATAAATACGGGCTGCAACGACGATTCCACTGTGAGGTGAATACAATACATATGGTTTAAACATATTTTATTCGTAAACGAAAAACGATTGGCAAACAAGCCTTAATGGCTTATATAGTATGACCAGAAATTATTGATTTGATAAATAATTTCTGGTTGTACTGTATTAATGACGCTCCATAATACATGTATAGGTTCACATATACATGTATACATAATGTTGTACATAAGAATTATAACAAGTTGTGAAAATATGAACGGGTTATCTCTGAATGATAACAATCTCGGATAATACCAAATTACCTTAGTTTTGTTTCGTGGCCAGTTGACACATATAAGAAAATAATAGAAACTACAAGATTTATGATTCAAATCATTTTCATAAAATAATGAATTGATGCACTAAGTGTAGAAAGTACCCTAACCATTCTTCATAGAATTATGAGAGACTGGGATAATCTAAAATACAAACTAAAAAGAGTAAGTAAAAGAATATAAAAATGTACAACATTCATAAATATAAACACGAGCAGGCCTGACCACACCTGTTATCGAGTCCAGGTGTGAGAATTCATCTACATATTTCAGCTCAGATCACATATGACTGATCATTGATTGGATGGTATGCCCATGAATCACGCGAGCTTACACGTGACACACCCCAAAATGCAGAACTCCCGCTACAGACAAGCCTGTTTATCCTGCTTATCCTGCTTATCCATGACCCAACAAAGTTGTTGATAAAAATTATCTCAATTTAAACATCCAATAATGCTATTACCTGTTATCAGAATGCTGGGTTACTTGTGTAAGCATCATCGCTATTGGCACAAGTGCGTTTAGCGTTTAATTAAAAGACTTTGTAAACTTGCTGCATTGTGAGATGAAATGGCAGGATTAAGTTGTGATAGTTGTTTGTTCTGTGTCATCAGTAGTTACTTCTGTGCTGGGTGAAGGATTGTGTTTTGAGTGAATTCATTCAATGACCACATTATATTAGTATGTCATAGTTGAATGCATTGGATCTCATCCCCATATTTCAGAAATAGTACAGTGTAGTTATAACTGGGTGAACATCGTTAATAAACCCAGTCAGCATTGTTCTGTGTCATGAGAATGAATTGTAGTGTTTTACAAGCACATTCAGCAATATTCCAACCGTGTCATGAGTGAATGAATTATGTTGTTTTATCAGCACCTTCAGCAATATTCCAACCGTGTCATGAGTGAATGAAAGAGAGAATATTATTTCATGCTCCAGTAACAATATTCCTGGACTCACTAAACATTGTTTTAGGCACAATCAGCAATATTCCAACTATGAGTGAATTCAATGTATGCAACAGTTGGTTAGATAACACCAACAATTGTCTGTCTCCAGTCCCTGAACCACATTATTTTCCCTACTGCTAGTAAGCCCTATCTGCAGTGCTAAAGCCCTAAATGAAGCAAGTCTAGATTTCCCCAGGTTCAGGATCTCTGGTCTCCCAGGGACTCCTTTTCAATTTAAATGTGTTTGTTTGTTAAAATCAAAATTATATATATCAGAGACTTAGCATTAGTGAAACATTGACCTTCATTCAAACAAGGGACTTTAACTTTTACCAATGTTAAGCTATCTCAAGAACCTGTTCTCTGATTTTCTTCATGTTCATTACAAGCTTTATCTAGGAATTTAGAAAGTCGATTTTGGTGACCTTCACATATTAAAAGGTCATGGGCAGCACACTTTGAAGATTTCAGCCCCTCATTTAAGCTATCTCAAGAACTGGTCCCTGATTTTCTTCATATTTAACACCAAGTTTTATCTAGGGAAGGCGCAGGGCCCAGTCAATTTTGGGTGACCTTTCACTTAATTTTCAAGGTCACAGAGACACTTTGAAGATTTCAGCATATTAACTCTACATGTTATGCTTGTCAGCTTAGATACCCTTAGTCTAAGAACCATTCACTGGAGTTTCTTTATAGTGATGACACCAAGCTTCATCCAGGAAATGGCATCACCCAGTCCCTATTTTGACCTTCACATAATTTAAGGTCACAGATACAATTTGAAGATTTCAGCATACTAATGTGTCCATTAGTCAGCAAGATATCATAAAATATTCACTGGATTTTCTTCTAGCTGACACCAAGCTTCATATAGGTAAGGCCCACCTCATGTGTGTGATACAATGTTGTACTCACGAATTCGACACTTGAAGATGTAAGCTGCCAACCTGAATTGTCAGCAAGATCTTCTAAGAACTGTACACTGCCATTTTCTTTCATAGACTTTCAATGGAATGTTTTTCAACAAGCTATTTCTTTAATACTAGTTTTGCATATTTCATACAAAATTCAGCAAGCAAGAAAAAGTCTTGAAAATAACTGAATTTGTTGAGTAATTGCATTAGAAGAAAAACTATGTG